GTGATGAGTTTGGTGGGGAGCTGATCGACAGGGCAGCGAGACCCGTGGGGGTCCCTCTGAGCCCCCCGTGGAGCTGTGTGGGTGGAGAAGCCGTCCCAGTGGAGCATCACTCGTCCGCCCGCCCGCTGTCCCCCCCCAAGGCAGCCAAGAAAGAGAGGAAGGGGAAGAAGAAAAACAAGAAAAAGAAGGGGAAAGGTCTGAAAAAGAAAGGCCCTTCCAAAAATGGGGAACTGAGCCATCCCGCAGCCCCTCTCTCCATGGGGCAGGACCCACGGGCCCTGCTGACGGACTTGGGGGAAGCGGCCAACACCGTCCTGAGCGATGCCCCGGCGCAGGAGGGCTTGGGCAGGGAGGTGGCCCCGGCCCCCCCATCCCCGGTCCCCACCGCCAGCGGGAAGAGGAGAAGGAAGGAGAGAAACAGAAAGAAGAGGCTGAAAAGCAAAGCTGAGGCAGAGCCCACACGAGAGCGGCGGCCCTGACTCCCCCCTCGCTGCTCTTGGCTGTGTAATAAAGTTGGTCGCTCGAGCAGATGGCGCAGACTCGGCCCCGTCTCGGTGGGGGAGGAAGGATCGCACCGGCGGGCGGCAGCTTCCAGGGGAAATCCCGAGGCTGATCCCGCTCGTAGGGCTGCGGGAGGGGAAATGCCTGGAGGCGGGTGGGTATTGAGTGGGTTTGAGCTCCGCTCCCACCGGCTCATGTCATCTTCCTGGGCACCGGGGATGGCCGAGCTACTGCTCTGGCTGGGGACACAGCTCCTGTCCCCATGCCGGCACGGAGCAGAGCCCCGATTTTAGCTCCACTGCTGCAGATGGTTGAGCTCCAGCTCCCCAGGGGTGTATTTCTCTGAAGGACCAGTTAGCGAATTGCACTATCCCAGCTCCCTCTGCTGCCTTTTCCCAGGCTGGGAGAAGCACGGTGCTCCCACACCAGGACTGACTCTTTCTCCAGCCCCCAGCAATGGCAGCGACCAGCGGGGGCTGCTCTGGGAGGAGCAGGGACCTTGTCCCTCCCCAGTGGCTCCTCAAATGCCATACAAGAGCTCTTAGGAGTAGGACAATAGAAGCTTTTCCAGGCCTGGGACAAAGGCAGATGCTGCTGTGTCCCCGCCTGGCCGTCGGGTGATCACAGCCCAACTCGTTCCCCTCGCGGATAACTGGGCTCCCACAGCGAAGAATTTGAGAGCAGTGCCCAGAGGCAGGGCACGGCCACCAACTTCTGACCGAGGAGCATGGTTTGGCACAGCGTCCCCTCTCTTCCCCGCTGAGGCCGGTAGAAAGATCTTCCCCCACCAGCACCCAATTCCAGAATCAGAAAAAGCTGGAGCGATAGGAGCTCCTGTTTAGCTACGACACAGCCTCGGGAGATCAGAGAGCACCAAGGCGCAGAGACCGGAGCTGCCCCGTGCAAACCCCACTGTTCCCAGAGAAGCGTGCGCTGCAATCCCAAATCCCTGAAATAAGCGGACCACAAGAGCCCGGGGCAGGGGGGGGGAATACCGAGGTTGTAGCGAGGCATCGCACCCTCTCGAGCATTGCCAATGGGTGCAAAGTCCTTGCGGCAACCACAGCGTCACCGCAGGAAGCACAGACGTGTGGCGTATGCGGGCAGCTTCCCAAAAGTAGAATTTTTATTGACAGTAAGGGAAAACTAAAAACAAAGACAGCCAAAAAGGAGCCGACGACGCACAACTAACCCCTCCCCGTAAGGGTCCGATATAAGGAGCTGCTCCCAGTCAAATTCCCGTCATACAGAGTTTCGTAAAATAAAACAAATAACATAAGGTTAGTACACCTGCAACCTTCGGCGGGTCCTCCAGCCTGACCCGCACAGTTGTAGGGGAGGAACAAGACTGCGTCAGCCCCCCAGTAGGGCTGAGGAGAGGGTGTGGAAGCCAGGACCTGCATTTCTCTGTGGAAACAGCTTTGCTTTGTCTCCTGGGTTGCCGCCATTCTTCAGGAGCATTTACATGCAAAAAAGACCTTTGTTTCTTAAGATCTGCTGTTCTTGCTCATTTCCTAGGAGAGGAGGCTAACCGGGAGCACTGGGAAGGAACAAAGACTCTGCTTCCATAGAAAATCCCTACTAACAAAGCAGGAGAGAGGAAAATGTGGGCAGCAGGAACTTTTTCAGTTCAGAACTGGCTCCGAGCGCTGGCAGTCGCTCTGCAGTGAGCTCTTTCTGACATGACCAAAGTGATCTGCATTATCTGCCCCCCTCTCCCTCCCAGGCCCCCCAGTACCTCTCCCAGCCAGTGAGAGAGGTGGACCTCCGGGAGGTGCTTGGGATGGCGGCGAGATGTCTCTATACAACGCATTCAAACTAAAACATTATTCTTTATCAGCTCAACAGCAATCAGCTGCTCTGTGAAAGTTTCAGCACACAGAGGGCAACTTCCAAGCAACAAAGGAAGGAGGAGCATCGACTTTCACCACTGAACTCTGTTTCTCAGCAAATCCATCGCTAAGAGGAGAGGTCAGGCAGGCAGCAGGCGATGCAGGCAGAAAACCTCTCAACTAGCGCTCAGTAGAAACACTGTTATTTATTCACCCCTCTTGGTTACAACCGGGCAGGGTTAAGCGGATACGGAGGAGTATGCCATGCGCTCCCATCTGCTTCGCATTCTCCAACCATAGGAGCGGCTGCTCTTGCAGCGTTTTTAGCCCACATGTCTGTCCCGTGCTTGAGAAAGCTGCTGTTGGCTGGCGTTTTGTTTCGCAGTCTGATTAAAAAAAAAAAAAAATAAAAAAAATCAAAACTAAATAAATATTGTTCCAAAAGAAGCCAGAGGAGAGAGCAAGCCTTCGGTACGACAGCTGCATTTCTCTCCAGCAAGACACCCCCCCCAGTCCCAGAGCTGCTGTGCTAGAGCCCTAGGAACACAGCTGGGGGTCGGCACAGACTCCGCAGAGCCCTTTACGCATGAAAACACGGAGCAAACAACAACCGAAACTTTTTGAGAACTCCGGTTTGCTTTTCACAACCCCCGTGACTTTGCTTTGTGCTCTCAGGACAAGGAGAGCTGACAGTCAGGGTTTGGGAGAATCCAAATGGAACCAGCTCACTCCAGGCTGATGGTCTGCACTTTCAGCTACGCTTGCTTCCTAGTCTTCGCGGGGAGAGCAGACTGCTGTGCATGTACAAGGACAGACTCGTTTGACCTCATAATTACTTTGCCAAGCTTCCGAAGTGGTGAACCAGGGCCTGGAGCGCAGAGGCCGCTGCAGCATCCCTTCCTATGATATATTTATATATATATAGTATGTATATTTAGACCAGCCCCGTCAAGTCTATTCATTCACTCAGGTGCGCGTCACCAAGAGTCATTTCCCACCATCTCACGACGTATATAACAGGAGTTATGCGGCTAAGGGAAGGAAAGTTGTTTTCAACTGTTCACTCTCCCTTCCCCTTCCTAGAGAAGAGAGCGGAGGTTACGGGTCAGGTCCAGCATGGCCTATCGATCCATCTCATCCAGCAGCGGTGTGGCGTCCCCAGCGATGGACATGGGCGTGCTCTCGATCATGGGGCTGGGAGACGGGCGAGGAGTCAACCTCTGCTTCTGTTTCCTCCGTTCAGCCTCCTTCTCCTGGAGCCACTGCTCGGCCATCTTCCCCCAGTCGATCGCAGCGTGACTGTTGGTCCTGCAGTGACACAGGCAGAAGGTGAGTCACGCTAGCGGGACAGCTTCCCTGCCCTCCCTCCCTCCTCAAGAGTGCCACGTGGGAAGGTGCAAGGCAACCCCACCACGCTGGGTCCAAAAAAATCAACAAAAGCAATCAACACGGGACACAGACGGACACAAGCACCCAGCACCGGAGTCACTCACTTTGGCTGCTGCCTCTGCCTGGAGCTGGACGATGGCTGGGACTGCGTCTGGGACTGGGTGGACTGGGGTGTGGTGTTGGCCTGGAGCTGGTACTGGGGCGTCGTAATCGGCTGGCTGGGGGTAGTGTAGGAGTAACTGGGGGTCATCAGAGGGGTGGCCACCGGTTGCTGTGCTGGAGTTGTGAAGACCTGCAGAGAGCAGAGAGTGTTAAGGGACAGAGGGCAAACCCTGCCAGGCTGCAAGGCGGAGGTCTGGCACGCTCGCCTGGGAAGCTGGTGCCCACCCTTGCCACACACTCCCAGCCCTGCTGGAGCCCCTCAACTGGGCAAGGAGAAGTTTGCAGTGACCATTGCCCGGGGAATAGGGGCTGTATGGCAAAAGGAGTAACACCCTGCTGAGCACAGACATTTGTTCCCCTGATTGCCCACCCAACCTGGGCCAGCAGGGCCACCACAGCCTGCTCTCCTTGTTCCCCCCCGCCCAGGGTACAAGGGGTGATGCTTAAACCAAACAAGAGGTGTGCACAAGAGACACTTGGGGCAAGCTAGCAGAAATGACATCTTGCCGTGAGCATGAAGAACAGATGAATTCTTCCCCTGTGGGCTGCAAGAAGGTGCAGCAGCTCCCGAGACGGCTCCCTCCCACACCCCAAGCTGGCTGGCTCACTGTTTGTCCTTTTGCTTAGTCTCTTTGCCTCCTGGTGTTCACCTCCCTTTTCCTTCAGATTGTCTTGATGATAATTACATTGGGTTATCCACAGTCCCTGCCTATCCCCAGCTCAGCATTACTGTGCCAAACTCCGTGAAATCCTCCCAAGGTGGTCTTAAAAGAGGATCACTCCTCCCTGCAAGCCTTGTCTTGCAGCACTTCTTCATTAGGTCTCTAATGGCTGGGTGTGTTTTTTGTACCCAGGCACCTCAGTCCTTCTGCAGCTGGATTTAGCCTCGGGATCAGCTAGGGAGCTGGAAGCGTGGGCTGGGAGGAGGTAGGCACCAACACACATGAGGAAAAGCTTCAGCGTGAGCCGAAACTGTCCAATTCCATCTTACTCCCTGCAAAGCCTCTGGGTGTTCGGTCAGGCTGAGGTGTTCGCCTGCCGGTGCAGCTTGGAGATTAGCACGCTGATCTGAAAAGCCCTGCAAACTCAGCGCATAGTTTCACAGCTAATCTCTTCCACTGGCAGCTCACGTTGCCAATTCAGGGGTACAATCAGAAGGCTGTGCGCCCTCACCGCTGGATCCCACCTCTCCACCCTGCCGCATTCCTTGGGGGGCCAGAGCAATTTGCTACTCGCTTCAGCTCTCCCCAGCACAGGGCTGTATTAACGTGCCTCATTTCCTCAGCCACAGGAGGCGAGAAGAAACCCGGTCCAAGAATCCAGCCAGGCTCCCCCGTGCAGCACCACAGGTACACAACTAGGACTGGATGATCCCAGGTAACGAGTAACTCCTTAGGCTCCCAGTGGAGCACCCATGGGACGGTTTCTAACAACCAGGAGAAGGCACGCAGCACCTCCTCTCAGAAATTTAAGTGACACTTACGTGGTACGCGCTGCTGCCACCTCCGCTGCCTCCATAGCCGTACTGACTGGATGCCCACTGCGCAGGGGTGGCATTTGGGTTCTGTCCCTGGCCTGTCACAGCAGCGATGGCGCTGAACATCTGGGAGGTCATGTTCTGCGGTAGAGCATTCACTGCACGGGTCAGGTCTGCAAGATAGACCCATCACGTTAGACAAAGCAGAGTCTGGAAAAGGAGCTCGTGTCCCAATTCCAACCAGGAAAGGCCTGCACTGACCTGCCAGGTTAATGTTAGCTGGAGTAGCATTAATGGAGGCTGGAGTCCTGGTCCGACTGCTACTGCTGGGCGTAATACCTGCAAAAAATACAAACCAAGCGAGACGGATTAGTTCTCCCAGAAGAGCAGCTATTGACCTGAAACTCAGGATTTGAAAAAATGCAGGCAGTGCTTTTACTGGCAAGATGCTATTTTACCATCGAATGGTGTATGAGGGTTGTATGGTGGGGAAGGCCAAGGGAGAGGAAAGGGAGAAGCGCAGCCTTTGCTGCATGGCCCACTTGGCTGAAAGATTAACTTTCAGGAGATCTCTCAATGTGTCCACAGAAGCCAAACACTTGAGCATTGCTTTGAAACTTCCCACTTATAGAAAATCCTAGGACACATTTCAGGGACAAAGAACGTGGAATTGTCCTTTACTAACTGCTTCTGCTGCGTGACAACTATGAAACAAATAGTTGAGGCACTCAGATTTTGGGGTGCTCACCTGGAACAGGGTCCTGATAATGATCCTTAAACCATCGAAAGAGTCCGTTCACGGTAGGGAAGACCTGGCCCCGGTAGCGGAATCCTTCTGGCGTCACTGTCACATACTCTATCCTGTGAGGAGCAGTGAATGCAGGAGAGCACAAGAGATGACAGACTGCTTCAGCGCCACACCTGCCGCTGTACAGCACCCTCACACAAACAGGTCACAGTCACAATAGGTAAGACCGACATATTCAGGCAATGGCCATACTGGTAATAAACAGACAGACCTACCTGAGTCACTTTTATTTTGTTTTCAAACAAGTGCTCCAAAATACCATGCTTTTCCATGCAAAAATCTATCAATCATTGCCCATACCCCAGTGACAGCCCCTGCACGGGGCAGTGCTGCTTGTGGCAGCCAGCTGGTTAGAAACACAGGAGTCTCCCGAGTGAGATTTACTCCCAGACATGGGTCCTCTAGTGTCAAGAAGCCAAACCCTGGGTAAGGGGAGGCACGATTTATGGCAATACTGACAGAGCTGGAAGAAAAACTGGCAGCAATAAGCTGAGGTGTGGTACTGGCAGTACTCAGCTGCAGCTGTTGGGCTTGCTTCTCACTTACCTCGGTTTGCCTCGAGGCTGATATCCCAAGAGGAATTTGCCAGGTAGATCTTTACAGGCACTGATAAAGTAGGGAATAAATGTTGGCTTCTCTTTTTTGGTCTTTATCAGCAGCTCTTCCAGCTTCTAATTAGAGAGAGAGAGCGAGAGGGGAAGAGAAATGCTCAAGGAGAGCCTGCATTTTCAGCAACACACATGGCCTATGGATATCTCCCTCTGTGCTGCAGTCAGCCCTTTTTCCTCCCAGCCCTGATGCCAGTGATTCAACAAGGACCACCAACTGCACTGTTTCTGCACAGGGTTGGTGCACAAATGTCACCAGGTCAGAGAAAGCCAATACTCTCCCTTCAGCGAGACCTGCTGGCAGGGCAACCCTCTGCTGCTCTGGCACACCACTGTAGCACACCACACTCTCATGTCCTAACTCCGCTGCTCCCAGACAGAACCTACCTGAGATCCACAGCTGGAAAGTGACTGCCAAGCCCCAAGCAACAAGAGAAAGATCAGAGAGCTCAGTCCAGCAGCAGCTCATGCCAGACTCAGAGTTTAAGACCATCCTGAGACAAAAAAACTTATTCTATGCTCCTTTATCTCCCACACAACCTACCACAGCCTGGGACAGGCTCACCTTCTTGTCTCCGCCGTTGCAGTCCTGATAGTATTTGTGATTCAACAGGTCTCTGGCAAAAGAAGCCATTGGCTGGACATAGCGAGCAACAATTTCATCCAGGTCTTCAAACTCCTTTGAACAAACACATTTAAAACATTTGAAGAGGTATTTAACAATAAGGAACTCTGATTCTAGTATACAGCTCTCAGTCATACATTCTGCACAGCAAGGCTGGATGCTTTGAGGGAGGGGAAAGGAGGGGAGAAAAAAAAAAAAAAAAAAAGAGAGCTGAATATTGTCTAAGAATCTGGGATCTGCAGTGGAAGTTAGTCTCCAACAGCCTGAAGGCAGCCGCAAGGACAGGAAAGCTGTGCCAACCTGTCCCTGCCAAATAAGTACTTCTTCCCCACCAACTCCTTGCCAGACATGCTCTGCAATGCTCTTACCTCTGTGTTAATCCAAAGTGTGGAGCCGAGGCTGAAGGCATTCTCCTTGCCCTCTTCTCGGACATCCACATGTTGGTAAATCCCATCGTTCACCTTCCAGGTGACAGTGAGGTGGTTCTCCCCTTTGCTACTTGGCCGAATAATCACATCCCCTTGGTCCATGGTCTCCATCATCTTCTCAGCTTGCTTGAAGCTAATGTTGTGGAATGACGGGTGAGCAATTACTCTCTTGATGTATGCTAGAGGACAAAAAGGAGTGTTTAGGCTTCCAAGAGGAACTGCTTTATTCCACGTGTTATGTCTAATTGTGCTTATTCTCCCGAAGAGCTCTGGGAAGGCTGGCATTATGAGGCAGAGAGAAAAAAAAAGAAAAAAAAGAAAAAAAAGAGAGACTCACTTGTCCGCTGCTGCTTTCTTTTCATGTCTTCTTCCTGTTTGTGATCTGCTGCCTCAGAGTCAAAGTCATAGTAGGTGTCTTTAGGCAGTTTCCACTCATTGTTCTTATCCATCAGGTCCGAGGTCCTGCAGGTCAGGTCTGCACTGAACTTCTCAATGTCGATCTTCATAATCCTGCAGTGAACGGTCATTCCCACCTACGGGAGAGGGGCAGGCAAAGCTGATCAGCAGGTTTGGCTGATACGCCAGCCTCCCTGCGCTACAGAGCGATCTGTGCGGGGTCACGCTGCCAGGAAGGAGGTACAAATTACCTCACCTGCTTCAGACTGATACAACCTTTACAAGCGACCCCCAAGATGACTAGAATCAAAAGAGATTAAAGGAAAAGTGGGCAGTTCTCCAGCATGTCTACTCCCTATGCCCCGTACCACACAGGAAACTGCATATCTGGAGGCTGAGGACAATTATGTTTGCTATTTGATGCATCTTTAACAATGAGAGCAGCAAAACTGGACTTCAAGATCTGCAAGACAGCAGTTAAGTCTCTTCAGAAACAGAGTGGAAGTCACCCAAAGGACTGCTGTAATTAAACGGGAAACAGAAAATACCACCACAAAAACTGCAGTGTCTTAGTCCAGCTAACCATGCTGAAGTTAACGACTCTTTAAAGAAATGCTGAGACCTCTGAGCTTACAGGATTATCCATCACCTACATGGACTGTCAGGGGGACCCCAAAAGACAGCAAAGATGTTAAACCTCTATTTTATCATGTGACAAAAATATGGTTCTGCTTCTTTCTGACCTGAGCAACAGCGGTAACTCCGATGACCTCCACAAAGGAATTGAGACAGAAGAAAAAGCCATGAGAGAAGGAAAGTGACCCTTGCATATCTAACAGCAGTTCCGTGAACTCTTTAGAAAGCCAGAAACAAAGGGCAGCTCTGCATTAGAATGCCTTCTGGTCTCCTAAATCTAGACTTTAGCCAGACTATAATAAATCCTCCCGCAGTACAACATGTTAACTGATTAACATGGTTCCCACCAGCTGCCGAAAGAGATTTGCACTGTGGGAGGACACTAACCAGAACCTGAACTTGCTGCTCATTTAAAGTCCTTAAATGAAAATAAGGTTTGAAACGTCATTTAGGGAACAGTGTTATTAACCAAACTCTGACTCTGGTATTGGCTCTGCCCTGTTCCAGCTCTTGCTGGATATGTGAAAATCCACTACTTTCATACCTTCACCCTTTCTTCTGGTCGCTTGACCACCTTATCGCTAAGAAATTTTGTTGGGATGAAGCCAGCGACGCCATTATCCAGACGTGTCTTCACTCCAATGGCCTGACCTGGGCAGGAACCGCTGTCAAAGTGGTTCCAAACCTTGAGCAAGGCAAAAGTAAAAGTCATTCAGCATGGAAACAAAATAGCCTCGGCAGCTCACATTCAAACAAGTCTAAAAGCTGTGTCAGCAAACTGGTGCGGCCAGCAGAGACATGGGGAAGGGCAGGGGACAGAGGACTTCAACGAATGCTACCCAGTAATGCAATCTTCCTGCTTCAGTCCTGCTCAGCTTATAGGGCTTTGCAACCAGGAAGGTCAGAACATTTTTAGATGCTGAACACAAGCCTGCAGCTAGGGCTGGTTTCTAATGAACGCTATAGGGTTTTAAAGTCGAGGATTATCAAGGCTGGAATTCAGCAATGTTTAGAAGAGACCTAAAGTACAGCTGCATTAAGCAGCAGGGAGGCCAGATAAGTTCTTAAAATTGAGCAGGTGGCAGAACAAGCTTCTGTTCTCAGTGTCACGGGCAGTTTCTCTGCGTAAAACACAATCCTAGACCACAAACAAGCCTGCTTTATGTATGTGCAAACAACCGGTCAGCTTAGCCCCAGGTCCATTTCACTTCTAGCCCAGTTCACTAAAATCTATAATGCAGCTATAAAGGACTTGCCAAATCTGTACTGAAGCAATTAGTCAAAAATGGAACAGATTATATTTGCAGCCAAAGGCCACATTCAGTTTGGGATCCTGGGGCACTGCAGGCACAATCTTGGCTCTGATACCTTGTTTCCCAAAAACCCTATAAAACGCTCAAGCCTGCAGAAAACAGACTCCTGAGAAGGAGAAGCAGTCCCACCTCGCTGAGCTCTGGGAAGTTATCCTGCTGACAGAAAGGACACTGCCAAAGGCCAGTTTCGTCATTTCGTATTGCCTGGTCATAGCTTTCTCCTTGTGGCCGCCTGTGGGCTATCCCAGTCACATTGCAGATGATCATTTTACCTGTGGTGTGATGGAAGAGGAGAAGGAAAGAATGAAAAAATGAAAGCCAACTATAGAGCTGGGCAGTTCCCTCGATCTAAGGTAGCTGTGCAAAAAGGTGTTAGGAGACTACCCAGGTACTTGAAAAGCTGCTCCACGTACAGGCAAACATTGCACCGTCCCAACATCACCCTCACCAAGATTCCTCTGCCCCACTTTACACATCCTAAGTCAACTTAGGATGACAGAAACCAGGGATGTACCTATATAAAAAGTCTCTGGAGTTTCTTTGGTCAGCATATTGAAGACCTCTTCTGTGTTTGGAGAACGGTATGGGGTTCTCAGGTCCTTGTACCGGCAGCTTAGTTCAGCTCGAATGTCGTATAAAGTGATATGCTTGTCACCGTAGCCCTGTGTGGTATTCAAAGGTTATAAAGCCATGAGTAGCAGGAAGAAGGTGAACAGCGAATCCAGTATAAGTTGTGAAAGAACTCAAGGAACTTATCAAACAGCAACTTTAAAAAAGAGCAATGCACAGGGTACCATCAAACTGTTGAACTCAGTTACAGGGTGTTGAAGAAGTAAAAAGTACTGATATGTTCAGAAAAAAAGTTAGATCAGCTCAGGGAGGACAGCTTAAATGGTCTAATTACTGTCTCCTGCCTCCTTCCTCCCTCTGCTCCAAGTGTACTTTCTGTAAGTACTTACTACATGCCACTGTCAGACACTGAATACTCATCATGGCTGTTTATACATTTTACAATGGCAACAGCTAAATGGTCTGCTCCTAAAAAGGATAAGGGTCACCAGCTATAAAACTTAAGAAACAGAGCTGGACAGTAGAGCTTCCCCTCTGCTTCTCAGCACACCTGTCTTTCCAGTTCTTCAGCAAAAGCATCGAGATCCAGGTCTTTCAGACGTTCTGGGTTTTCTAAGATCTCCTCTAGAGCTCCTGCGGGATTAGCATCCTCTGCCGACTCATCGTATTCTAAGGCATCCACTGCCATTTTTCTTGCCCATTCGTAGGTTTCAGGATGGACCCTAGACCCATCTAGGACTTCAATGTAGGAATCGGTACTGAAATAAAATGAAAGCAATGTTCAGACAAGGACTCTGCAGAGTTCCAGAGTCACCTCCTTCACCTCAATAATGAATCACGTTGTTGAGCACCACTAGTGGCTGTCTGGCTGCTTTGCCACCGCTGCCCTCAGTGGAACAAACTACTCTAAAAAGGACCCAATGAATTCTTCACTGCTAAATCAACAGGAGTCGAGGAAAGACATAAGAAATTCCAGTCTGCAGCTCCTGCACAGCAAAGATATAGCCAGGCATTTTGGATGCTATCTAGATTTGATCACTCCGTGTGCTATAAGCTGCTCTGTGAGCACACAGGTCTTTACGGTTTCTCTCCTCATACAAAATAAGTGTTACCAACTGGCAATGCAGCCATCTGCATCCAGCTGTTTGGAGGAATCTACACTTTGCCCCCTGCATGTCTGGGATTTGTATCCTGCAAGAACCAGGCACCTAGCGGGGCCGGATCACTCAGAGTAAGGATTCGGCCAGGTGTGCTTTCTCAGACTGCTTTTCAAAGGCAAGAAGGATACTGTGTCAGCCCCAGAGAAAGCACGTTTCCAACAGGTCACCCTTATGCGCAAAGCAGGCAGCTAGAAATTCAGAAACTAGGTTACTGCTGTCCTCCAAACACACATCTCTTGTTTAGTTACCAGTAACCTAATGCTCTACAAACCTCCCAATATTGCTACTAGTTTAAGAGGAAGCTAAATTGCCAAGTTATGCCTCAAGTTTGAAGCTTCAGAAAAATAAAATACTGATGGTGGGACTAGGCAGAAACTACAAAAAAGCGCACGACAGACATGCATGACGACTATGTTAGGGAACAACTGTTTTTAGTTTAATTCCTCTTGACCACAAAGGGCCTTTCAAACCATAGCAAGTTATATAATTAATGTTCTGCAGCTGACATTGCTGTGCGAGTTTAGCTGCCCACAAGAATCAGATTAATAACCAGCGACACCTGAACTTGGCCAGTCATCAGAGAAGCCACACAGAAGCTCCTGGGAACATGGACACCACAGAAGAAGATTGCTTCAGCCTGCTGCTCATGCTAACTCCATCCCCACATGACATCAGATGCAACCCAATACCCACCTATCGCCCAGCGATGCTGTGTCAATTTTGATGAAGCCAGCACAGTTGATAAACACCTTGGGTCCCATGTGACACATCGTAACCAGCTGGGTCCTGTTCTCCAGACGCGTGTTGTTTTGTTTTAAGATCTGGAGAAAGGTAAGAGTATAAACCCTGCTATTCAAACACAAGGGTTCTCCAGGAAGAGCAGAGGACTCACACTAGACACCGCAGTGTTCAAAGCATCTGACATAATCAAGCCCATCACAACTCATAAATCGTTGCCCCCTGCCTGCGTCTCAACATTGTATGAAAGGAGATGACTCCACATGGAACAGCTCCAACTCTCAGGAAAAGCATTGGCTTTTTGCCTTGTGTTTTCTACAGTACAGAGGCGTCTTGATACTGTAACAGCGCATCCGTTCCCGTGGGTTCAGGAGCTAGATAGGATTGACAGATCTGCTGAGTTGCTTGGGTCTATCAAGGACATAAGTCCATGCGCAGCTTCGGGGTTAAGCGCAGTGAGATAACACATACTAAAATACACCTCAATGGAGCTGTCAGCTGCATCTGGCACACGGGACCCTGACTCATCCTGTAACAGCACTGCCATCAGGCCAACTCGCACATTATCGGTGATGAATTGCTTCATTCCATAAGAAGCCTCCTTACCTTTAGCAGGTGAGTGCCTTTGCGTGGTCCCAGGCCACACACGTACTGCAGCAAAGCCTGGCTGTGAGGGTGCGCAATCGCCCGATTGACATCCACTCCCACCTCGTTCACACGGTTTATGAATTCACAGTAGAGGGCATTCAGCAGTTCCTCCTTCACCACATGCTCCTGACAGAAAGCAGAGGTGTTAGCCTCGCAAGAAGACACGTGCAACGTTTTGCCGTAAGGAAGCCGAGCCAAACACAACAGACTGGCTCTCCGGAGCTGTACTGCGCCTCAGAGTTACCCCTGAGAACAGCCTAAAGGCAGGAAGCAGATGAGCTAAAGGAGGCAAAAAATAAGTGCTTTGTAGCCTGAGTATGGCATAGAACAGGCAGAACTTGCACCAGTTCAACTTGGAATACTTTTATGTGACAGTAAACTTAGTCTTAGGCCTCCCAGGCCACTTTCTCTTGCAGAGAAGGATCCCAAAAAGCAAAGTTACCTGCAGAGGGTGGAGTTTTAGGCAGAGAATATCCTCATCGGAGCTGCAGACCTGGGCAAACTCTATGAGGGGGTCCTGAATGCGGCGAGCAAGGGAGACGGCTTGGCGCAGCAGAGGTGGGTAATCGCGGAACTCATTCTGCAAGAGGCCAGAGAAACAGGGGGAACCCTGATGGTGTTTTCACACTTTATAGCACAAGTAGCAAAGACACATCAGACAGGGACTGGAACAAGGGAAGTATTGGGTGCTCAGGGCAAAGAGAGCTGAGGTCAAATGCTCCCAGGAACTCTGCTGCAACTAGGCATGAGACAACCCCATCCACGCAGCTGAGCCAGATTCATTTCAGACTCCATCAATATCTACTTTGTACATCTGCTGGTGCTGTTCTCTTCAGGGGAGCCTAAATAAGATGTTTTGCCTTGACCCAAAGATCAGTACATCACTATCTAGATGGATTACGTGAGGCAGCGGATGACAGAAGGCAGGGCCAGAGCAACAAATGGAGGATGAGACAGCACAAGTGAGCAACAGACTAAGGGATAGCTGAGATAACAGAAGGTTCACCTCAGACTTCTTGCTGTTCATGTAGAGGATGGCCAGTTCATTGTCTACCAGCTCCACTCCAATAGAGGACAGCTGCTGCCCTTGATCCAGCTCATGAACAATTCTCTTTACATCCTCCATCAGCATCTGAGCATCCCTAGGGAGAGACGGCCAAGGGGATTGAGGGAAGAGTGCAAAGCTGGGTCCTGGAATCACTTAGGGAGATAACCCCAATGGGTTACCTCGCACCACAAACAGAAACAGTGAGATGTGGACAGGCATGAGCAAGGAGACTGGGAAGTGGAAGGAACACAAAGACTGACCTGTTCTCGCCTGCGATTGTCACCACGTGAGGCTTCTTGTTCAGGAGGAATTTTTTCAAAGTTTCAATATCCTGGGCCTGGAAAGGAAAGCGAGGCATGTCAGAGTAGAAAAGCTGGAGGGTTTCTGTACTGAGCTAGCGACCGGTCCTGGGTTCCTGTTTCATAGGGCAAATCCTCCCCCACTGCCACCCTGATCTGCCACCACGACATGAGCACAGCTAAATGCCTTCTCCACAGACTTGTAGCTCCTGACTACTGTAAGGACAAACAGGAAGGCTCTGCAGGGGGAGCACTGATGGCCTCATGGTCTGGTGTTACAAGATATCAGCACAGGTAGGGAATGGAAGTCAAAAGCTTGCCCCAGGCTCCAGGAGGTCCCACAGCCTCTTGCTATTATAAGGTTATCAGGGACAGGGGAGAAAGCTTCTGTAGCTGGGACCACAGAAACTCACAAAACCCCAAAACCAACAGAACTCAGGAATGGCAAGGCCCTGCCACTCCCCATAAGAGAAGCAGAAGAGATTAATTAGAATCTAACTGGAAGCAACCATCCCGCCAGAATAATTACAGGGTGGGAAAAAGGCAGTATTCTTGCATGCGAGAGTGACAAGGCCTGAGCTGTCTTCAGACTGACTATTCCTCTCCAGCCCACAGTGGATTGCACAGTACCAAAAGCAATGTGCAGGCATTCATCTCGACAATAGGTGCACCAAGGCTCACCTTCTTTTCCCTCTCTTCCTCACGCCAGGCGTTCCTTCTTTTTGTGAAATGCGGCAATCGGAGGAAGTCTGTAACCTCACCCTCTCCATTAACGAGGGCGCAAAACACGGGGTGGTCCCTGCGAAACAGAGATCACTCAGACACGGAGGACTGCTAAAGCTGAACATGGATCCAGAGGCAATTCCTTTCCTCCTACCTGGCTGAGGAAAATGCAATGCCTAGTACCCGAATCCCTTTCCCTTGGTTTTCATCCATGAAATCATCATCTTCCTCCACCTGCTGATCAGGACGGTATGAAGCTACTTTTAGCCAGTTGTACAGTTTCCGGCTGCAAGCCTGGTAGAACAGAGAAACAGAGAGAGGAGTGAGAAAATGAACTGTAGGTGCTTTGGCATAGCCCTTCTCCACGGGAAAGTTCATGAACTGCTCAAGGCAGCATGACAGTATATTCTGCCAGGAATGGGACCAGCTCTCCAGAACCATGGAGCCCATCTTCCCTGCCACTGAGGTATCTGCTTTTCTCTCCATCCTTGGGAAAGAACCAGACTCAGACCCCTGCCTGCCTCCTCCTTCCTCCCAAAAGCCTTTGTATGGTCTGTCAGTAGCTGTCCTCAGCATGCTGCAGGACTGTTAGCATTTGTAACCCAGCTGTGACTCAGACTCACTTGTCCCTCATCTCACCTTGAGGACATACTCCTTGGCCTCCACCAACAGCTTGTTCTTCAACTCTTTAGCCATCTGCACATAGAGGAACTGGTTGAGGGACCGCTCAATAGCCATCGTACGCTGCCGATTCCACTCCTGCACCTGGTGGCTGAACTCATCCCGATAATAGAACTGTTTGATTTCCTCAAAGTACGTCTGGTCGCTGCCATAACTGTAAAAAATGAGAGGAGCAGATACAGAACAGCTCCAAACATCTGCATTGACACCACCACTGGCAGATTCCTGCACAGGGATGTGATAGCAGCACCTCAGATTCAGTGAGCTGCCCGGAAAATTTAGAGAAGAGCCAGTCCTCCCATCAAACACTCCTTTAGCTGCAAAAGCTATGCTGCCAGACAAATTGCAGCTGAATGCCATGCTGGCAACACAGAGGGGCCTGATCAGTGCCACACCAGACAGCCCACAGCCACTCCAGCACACCCATATTGCACAGCGTGGCTACTCAGATGTGCAGCAAAGGAACCAAGGAGCCACGCAGTGAGGGGGGGTGGGAAACAAGCATCGTCTTTCACAAAAATCCTGAAGGCTTCAGAGTTTGCCTTCAAATGAATAAGCCAGACATCTTCTAAAGTTTTCATTACGATGAAGAAAAAAGCAAGACCCTGAGAGGCTGCTTGGCTTTAAGGTGCAGAAAACCACCAGGTCATGACTTCCAGGAGCAGTTTGGATTACAGAGGAGCTCTAACAGCATGGTGGCACTGGATGAACGAGCTCTGCCGAGGCATGGATGGCACAGCCAGTGAGGACTCACCCCTCCACTCCTTTCATGTCAATGCTGATATCTATTGTGAGCAGTGCCTCCTCCTCTGCCAGGCTCATTTTCAGGAACTGGTCATCTCGCAGCTCCTTCACAGGCTTGTTTTTCAAGTATTTAAAGGAATAGGCATAGTGGGCTTCATCAATATCCTGGGAGAGAGGAGAGAGTCAGCATGCATGCAGTGCATTCATGAAGAAAGACCCTTCTGTAGACCGTACCAGACAATGGTTTTTATTCAATACACCCTCACCCCTATGCCTGCCAGTCTGCATTTGCTTCCCCAGCAGGACACAGTGGAACTCGTTCCCAGTCCCAGAGAAACAGAGACTGTTCCAGTAATTGAAGGCAACATCTCAACAGCAAGAATCAGGTCTGATAAAATGCTGAGACTGAAAACGCAACATGCTGCTGAGCTGGCCTCTGCAACAGCCTAGCTCACACACCACTCTAAGATTTATTCAGGATTGGCAGTGACATGTGAGAAGTTTTCAGATGCAAAAATGAGTATTTGTATGTTATTTAGATCCCTCCCTGAAATGACCCACAGAGTCAGAGCTCCCTTCCTTACCTTCTTCCCCTTTTTGGTTGGTGAAATGTTGATTTTAGCTCTTTCTTGGAAAGTCTGTCTCAGGACCTGCCTGACTAAAGGCTCCCTGGCTATCTGCAAAGCCACCATGTACCGGGCTCCTTCCAGCACAGCTTCAGGGCTTGGGAATTGACTAAAAGAAAAAAGGCAACATGAAGACTTAGGACTTGAGAATGCCCCCAGATTCCCTCCCTTGTGTCACATTTGCAGCACCTCCACAAAGATCGCCCCACACTGACCTACACACATAATCCTTGGCGAGCTCCAGGGGCTCTGCAGGGAACTGCTCTGTCTCGTGACGCTGGTAACTATCTCGGAGATTCTCTCCAAACTGCTCAGGTGTCAGACCAAACTTCTTAGCTAGGCCATCTGGGGCAAAAAAAAAAAAAAACCACAAAAACGATGAGGACAGGGGTACTGTACCTTATATTGAGCAAAAATACCAGTCCTCCTTCTACAGGTAAGCCACACCACCCAGAAGAGCACGCGGGCTAGGCCACTGCAAGCTCAGTGTGACAGAGCACAGCCCTTACCCAGCCCAGCTGTCTGACAGATGGTGTACATATCCCGACGGGAAGCCTGCTTCAGCTCAGGCCCTTTCTGCTCATCATCTTCGGCATCCTCCCCTTCACCTATGGGAAGGATATGTTTAGCAAGGCCTCTTTACAGAGGCATCCAGACAGCCACAGGGCGTCAGAAGCACAGCAAAGGGATCAAACACAACCTACGTTGTCCAAAGAGTCCCTAAATTCCACAAACACACCTCAAAGGTCACAATAGCCTTAAAATTATTCAAGGATAGAAAAACACCCTGAAAATGTTATCTTCTCTTCAGTTTCACTCTTTAGCAGTTCTAATAGCAGTATCTCTGGGTTGCACATTAAAACACACATCAAGGTGGCCGATCCTTGCTTTGGCTCCTGCCATAAGGGGTGGTATTCAGTCCACTGGAAAATCAGCACCTTGTGTGGCAAACTTTAAGCCTTTTCAGAGATGACTGGAAGACCTGGGACTAACTTGAGATGGAAGCAAACAACAGAGATGCTCTGTGCAAACAAATGGACTTTTCAACAAACTTTCTTACTACTCATTTAAACCAGGATTTTCAAACAGCCCACAATTAGGAGACTATGAAGTTTGGGGACAAACCTTCCTCCTCTTCACCATCCTCTCGGATACGCTTTTGCTTCTTTCGAGCAGCCTTGGCAGCGTTCTGCATCTTGGGGATGTCTCGCCCATAGTACAGCAGGAAGTGATTATACACGTCCTTCAGCTCGTCCATGGACTGCACGTCCTTCAGCCTATGGCACGCAAAGCCAGCACGTTACACCTTGCTCGCAGCTGAGCTGTGGTCAGAGCACTCAAGGAACCTGCTCTGCTACAGGTCAGGCAGAGTGAGCACTTGGGCTCACCTTCCAAAAGTTTTAAATATTTCTCATTACTGTCTTTGTGGGGAGGCTAAAGTCAGTGTAAATATTTCTCATTTTAAATATTTCTCATGTCTTTGTGGGGAGGCTAAAGTCAGTGCACTGCAGTGGCCAGAGAGCCTGTGCCGTTTGGGCAAATTAAGGCACATTTTAAGTCATTTTGGAATGAATATAAGAAAGCCATGGCACCATACCTCTCCATGTCAGTAGTATCCAGGGCTCTTATTCCATCTGCCAAGGGCTTGTCTGGGTCAGCAGAGATTTGTTCGTACTGATAGGCCTGCATCTTCTCAAAGAGACGTGTCAGGTTCTGCTTGCGGATCTTCAGCTGGGTCCACTAATATGAGAACAAAGACTTCCAGTGAAACGCACCATAGCTGTGTGGCACATCTGACTCCTCCCTTCCCAAATAGGGGCTCCCAGGACCTTGGGATATTTGTCATATAGAAATAATCATAAAAATCTTCATCCACAGCCAAGCCCAGATGTGACACATATGGCAGGTCTCATCTTAGGGATGGATCATATCAACAGAAAAAAAAATAATCAAGGTTTGGATCTACCTGATAGTAGAGAATGAACGTGCACTCCTTGCAGGAAAGATAACTACACAAAAGGAACTTGGTGAAGGGAAAGAACTGTGTTGAACCCTCTTTTGTCAGATAACCCTTTATCACCACACGATAGCAAACATACAAAAAAAAAACCACACAAGGTCTCCACAGCCAAAACAAAATCTGCTGTATTAGGCTAGGTGGGAAGACGTGTGTCAGTTTCAGCTGGGATGAAGTTAACCTTTCTGCTAGCAGCTGGTGTAGTGCTCTGTTTTGGATTTGGGATGAGGAATAGTGTTGATAGCACACCAGTGGTTTTAGTTGTTGCTAAGCACTCAAGGCCTTTTCTGCTCCTCACACTGCCCTGCCAGTGAGCAGGCTGGGAGGGCACAAGAAGCTGGGAGGGGACACAGCCGGGACAGCTGACCCCAACTGACCAAAGGGCTGTTCCATACCATGTGATGTCATGCTCAGCATATAAAGCTGGGGGAAGAAGAAGGAAGGGGGGGACACATTCGGAGTGACGGCCTTTGTCTTCCCAAGTAACCGTTAGGTGTGATGGAGCCCTGCTTTCCTGGAGATGGCTGAACACCTGCCTGCCGATGGGAAGCAGGGAATTCCGTGTTTTGTTTTGCTTGCATGCGCAGCTTTTGCTTTACCTATTAAACTGTCTTTATCTCAACCCACTAGTCTTTTTTTTTTTTTCCCCCTCTCATTTTTACGATTCTCTCCTCCATCTGAACTGGGGGGTTAGTGGGCAGTAGCATGGTTCTGGCTGCCGGCTGGGGTTAAACCATAACATGCTAAATATTGATGGATAACAACCAGTGAAAACAACCCTCACCTTCTCATCCCACTGCCAGACCCTCCACAGGTCATTGATGTGCAGCTCTGGCTCCACATACTCCTTTCTGTAGAAGGCGATGAATGGGACCTGGGTCAGAAATGAGACTCTTCACCACCATGCAGGAGACCGGGCTGTTCTTGGCAGCCAGGAATCCAGAGAGTGCTTCTGTTCCATGTGGGAGAACAAGCTAACAGGGTAGCAGTGTGGGACATGTCCCAAGCCATGCCCCAGCTCTTGAGACCATTCCACCAAAGAATACACCGCATACACCAAAAAGCTGCTGCAACATCAGGCACACCTCAGAGAATAGGTTGAATGGACCAAGCAAAACTCAGGATACCCTGAAATTCCTCCACCTCATTTAGCAGCAATTTGTCCAGGATCAGGGAAACACAACGATAGCAGGCCCATCAAACAGGCCTTAAAAACTCACGCTGCCACAGCTCACATAGGATGAGCTGCACTTTCCAATGAAGCATCATTTTGTCACAGGAGAGGCAACCAGGTACAGTACCTCAGCCTGTTCTAGTTTGCTACCCTAAACACTTCCAGCAGCCCCTCTGCTAATCCTGTCAGGATAAGAAGACAGCATCCTTATCTTGGCAACCAAGCCAAGTCGCGAATTACCTCAAAATGTTGATTTCTCATGAAATTTAGGGCTTCTTTAATCTTCTGGATGGTGCTGGGCCCCTTACGGCTGAAGCTGCTGCTGGCTTGTCCACGGTCGAGGTAGTCAGAACTTTCCTAAAAGGAGAAACACATTGTGTTCATTGTATTCCTGAGCTGACCCCCAAAAGAGCAGCCCAGGCTAAGGCTGGAAAACGATGGTCCTTTTGTTAGATGGGAACACAGGCTTAGGGTACACGCTCTGATTTTAGACCACAGAAAATCATCCTAGCCCTGACTGGCTTAAGGAAAACGGAGAAGCAGCATCTGGACAAGGTAACTGATGGCTAAAAGCAGATTACGGCTAATACCAGTTTAGCCCTAAGAGCACAGTGGCTCAGAGATCTTTCAGTCATTCTTGACAATTATTCTTGCAACTTCTCTGTGTTCCTTTTTGCCCTGTTTTATGGATGTGAAAATGAAGACAAGTGCATGTTAAATAACCTGCTCAAAACCAGAAGGAAAGGTACATTGCGCACCACGTTCCTCTGAGCAGACTCCTGGAACAATTATCTCCAGGCTGGAAATCTGCAGCACCTTCCAGTCCTCTTAGGACAGAAGTTCCAGGCATAGTCCTTTACCTGCAAGGAGATGGTAGGTGTCGCAAATGCGTTCCTGTAAATCCAGTCAGCTTCCTCCTCCAGCTCATCATCTTCAGCACTCTTCACCGGGATGGATCGCAACTGCGAAAACACAACAAGATGAGCAGAGGCACGTGCAACACCAGGGCTTGTGCTACCATGTCTTCAAGCCTGGAAATTATTGTTTTGAGCCGCAGGTTGCTTATGGGGTCTCAGTACCTCCCACACCCACAGGGCTTTGCTGAGGACAGCACTTCAATGTCTGCATCTTCTGAGCAGACGGGAAACCTACATCAGCTTTACACTAGGTAAAGGCAGGTAACAATTCTGTCAGAGGCTTGTGGAGAGGCCCGCAACGGTGTGAAATCTTCCATGATGATCAAGTCAGGGTACCCCCACTTCCTACCAGACTCCCAAACCCTCTGCAGCTACATCCTCTGTTCCACTCTGTGCCCGTGCTAGCCTTGGTATGACGTTTCTTGCTGCAGCCATAGAATAACAGAACATAAAGCAGCTCCAAACCCTCTCTGGGCATTTAGTCCCAGCCAAGTCTCTTTCAGAAGGCCTGCTCTAATCATCACTGACACCCGTGAAGACGACAAAATGTCTGAACAGGCCACATATGGCCAGAAGACATTACACACAGCGTTTCCTTGTGCTGTGCACACTGGCATGGGAAAAAAGGTCCTTCTGAAAAGCTGGCAGCTTCAGACGTCCCACTTTACAAAGCAGGGTAACAAGCCTCTGCACAGAATTACATTAACATACACTTAAGGGAGACTGAAGAACACAGACTGTTCAGGGAAAACCTGATTGCAGGGTAAAATTAAGACAAAAATATGAGATACCAGCATGATTCCTAGCAGCACAAACAGGACTCCACATCGAGAGCAGTACAAATCCCAAGTGCTTGGATTAAAGTGTGTTACAGAACAGTTACATCTTGGCTGCACATGGCTAGGGTAGAAAATTCGGCACTGCAGCTTCACTCTTGCAATCTAGAGATACAACTCATGGGACTACTAACAGCACACAGCATAAAGGACATCTCAGCAAAGCACAAACCCTTCACCACTCTCAGGAGTGCAACACTGGCACCCAGTGGCCAAAGAGAAACTATGACCAGTGCTAAGAACGGGCTTGCACAGCTACAACAGTCACTGATGTGTTTGAATGCAGGGGTTCAGCCTATACGTTTAACAGCTGGAATCTTCAAAGAGGGAAAAAGAGATGCCAAAATCTAGCCAGCAGCCAGGTGAGAAAGCCAGCCTGCAGGTCCCAGGCCTGCTGTACTCGGTGGGAGCTGAAATGCTTTCTGCCTGCACACCAGCACTCTCTTCTCTCACCTGGAACCTCTCAGGCATGTCTGTCATGCGGATCTCGTTATCCTGGTCCGTTAGGTGACTGCTCTCCAGCTCACTAGGCTCGTACATCTCAAAGATGCTACGCCGACTGACGCGCTTCTTGGCAGTCTTTTTGGGTCGTACACGTGTCTCCCCTTCGGCTTCTTCATCCTCATACTCATATTCCTCCTCCATCTCCTCATCGTACTCGTTGTACTTCTCAAACTCATCATAGTCGAAGTCCACACCAAAGATTTCCTGGGCTTCCTGCAAAGCGCTGGAAGGCAGAAACTATCGTTCAGCCCCACAGTGCAGTTCAGAGACTATCCTTCTGGCCACACAGAGGTGGCCAGAGCACCTAAGTCTAAGCTTTAGTTTCGACCTAGACTAAAAACTCATGGAAAGGTACACAACCCTGAGCTTTATATGCAAATACTTCTCTTAAGAAACCGGTTTTGGTATCCCTGTAAAAAATCCAGGGGAGAAAGGAAGGAGTCAGACATTTAAGAAATAACAGGCTAGAAGCCCCATGTTTAAATTTATCAGGTTCCTTTGGGGAAAGAGCCCAGCGGTATCCAACCACAAGCTGAATCACGCTGCAGTTGCAAGCATCAAATACGCTGAGCACTCTTTTCAAGGCTCCAGGCCAACTTCCAATCAATACTTACGCATCTGTGTATCCAGGGAGCTTCTTTCGCCATTTTGGCTTCTTCAGAGGTTGTCCATCGTCATCCACAATGAAGTCATCGATGTCTGGACATTGAGAAACAATTTAATGGTCAGAACACTCGTATATTAAACTGGTACCTCTGACAAAGCTCAGCTGAGCCAGCGCAACTATAAGCTTCCACCACAGACTTAGGCTGCCACTGGCTGTCAGTCTGCCCAGCTACCCACAGCATCTCCTACACCAACCTCAGAATTCCAGGAGTCTGAACCACAATAGCAAGCTAGAATGAACTTCCAAACACAGGCAAAGCCATCTGGCAACTACGTGCAGCTCACTGCACTGAAAATACACTCAGAAAAGGCCTTGCTGCTTTGGACAGTAGACAAAGAATTCTTGAAACTCTTTCAGTATGGTACTAGCAGTGGTAACAGGCTGCTGCTGAAGAGAAGCAGGGCAGGCATGCGCTGTGCTAGTAGGTCCTAAACAGTGCCTCAATTTCCCTCCTTCGAAGCATTTCCATTTTGGAGGCAGCTTAGAGGAGATGTTCAACACCTCAGCACATGTAATGTGCTTCTGCACAAAGTAGTTTAGACAGACAAACTAAACCAGCCACCCAGAAACATTTAATTCTAGCGATTGTACTAATCAGACCAGCAAGACCTCGACCGCAACAGAGCTACAGCCTTTGGTGACTTAACTTGGTTCCTGTGCTTTAATCCTAGGACAAACTTTGGATGTAACTGACCATCTATACTTACCAGATTCATCTTCCTCCTCCTCCTCTTCCTCTTCTGGTGGAGCAACAGGAGCTTCAACAGCTTCCCCTCCCTCCTCGCCTTCACCATCCTGAAAGATTTCTTCAGCAATGGCTTCTTTCTCATGTTCTTCTTTTCCATAGTCTTCCTCTTCGTCATCCTCATCATCGGACATTTTTCGCACACGCCTGAATTTTTGCTGCAAGTAAAAATGACTTGTTAGTTGCACGTAATTCCTGGCACAGACACTCAAGCTCAGTGTGGTCTCTGCCAGGCCAGAACTGCACTTCTACTCCCCAGGTGGCACCTGAGAAGGAGCGGGATGGAGCCCAGCACAAGCACACAGGGGAGAAAAGCCACCCCCTCAGCAGCCGTGCTCGTTGGGCGCAGCATGCACACAACATAACTGCCTGCTGAGGACTGTACTGCGTCCAGGCCCGTGTCACCTGCATGTGTCACCACCAGAGTTAGCCTGGCTTGATGTGTCTCTAGCAAGCGTGACAGACGGAGCTTCAGAGCCCGTAAGAGCCTGTGCTGACTCTGAGGTTAGCACCATGGAGGAGAAAGTTATTGGAAGATGGGCTCCTCCGAGACTGTCTTGCAGAGGTGGGAGGGGAGGTGTACAGCAGACTTTAGGAACCAGAAGAAAGTGGTTTGCAAGCTCTAGGAAGCCAGTTCCCAGTTGTCTGGGCAGGGAGAGATCCTGCTTCCTTCATGCACTCAGCTCTCCCTTTCCAAGAGGGCAGGAGCAGATGGGAGGTACCACTCGCTCCCTCCAGGCAGGAACCCACCTTCCTTTGTGCAAAGACACACCACACCATTAACAGCAGCATGGGAACACAACTCACTCTTTTGACTTTAACACCCAAGTTCTCTTCAATGAGGTCAAAATCATCATCCTCCAGGCGGTCATCAAAAGCTAAGAGAAGAAAGCAGAGATGAGTTACGCTCTCCCTTTACTAATCTGGGAATGGACCAACCAGTGAGAAGGGAATAGCTTATCCAGCCCATGCAGACACCCAGGGCAGACAGAGAACTCTGCTCTCCGGCAGGGCAGTGTGAGAGCATTACCCTGTGGTTTTATGATGAACAATCACCATAAAACTTACTGCGCTTTCTCTTTTTGTGGCCAACATCGTCCTCAGAGTCTCCAGAGTCGCTGGCTTCTTCCTCCTCTTCCTCTTCCTCATCGTCGTCATCGTTAATGAATCCTTTCAGGTTCCCCTGCTCATCTTGATCATCGAGATTCTCCTCCTCCTCTTCCTCGTCTGGTGGAGAGCAGCAAGTGTTAAGACATGTACTCACTGGTTATCTGCTGAGACTCCTTCTCAGCTCTGTGCAAATGGCACCTTCCTTCACATTACCCATGCAGAGTTTTAATGGAATACTTTTACTGACACAGAACCCAGCCTGCTTCTCTTGCCATAACCCCACTTATTGTCTCATGCTCTCTCTGCAGAGGGAACAGGTGGAGTGGTCACACTGGGAGAATTCCTCTGCTTTTACTGTTTACTATCAAATTGTGAGACTGGAAGTCCCACTGGGGTGAGGCAGCGTACTTTCCATTGCCAAATATAAAAACCACCTAAGCACTTTGAGGAAGGGAAGCACTTAAACAGCCGAGATTATCGACTACAGATGGCTATGCTATTATAGCACAGTTATTGCTCCATCTGCAGAGTCACGGGATTTAAAATAGAGCAGCAAGGCATACAAACAATTCAGCAAACTCAGAACAGACCGACAGACTCACCGTCCTCATCTTCCTCTACAAACTTCTTGGTTACTCTGGGTACAACCTCCCCATCTTGGTTGTACTCCTCCTCTGACTCCTCCGCTTCACTTTCTACGAAGTCAGACATGACTGCAGTGTCTCACACACGGCTCCACAGGAACTGGGGAAAGAGGAGACAAGACATCCATCATATCAGCTAAGCTAGCAAAACACAAGCACGTCCCCCTACCGGGTTTTGGAGAGAAGGCAGTTAAGGCAAGAGGGTTTAAAATTATCTATCAAGGCCCTGAATTACCCAGTGTCCACCTTGCCTAGACATCCCTGTCACCAGAGATTAGGCAAGTGGAGCCAGCAGCCGAGTGCTGCTAGCTCCTGTCAACCAGTGTCTCAGCGAGCAGGACAGGACCTGTCACAGCAGCATTTGTTACACAGCTGAGCTCCCGGCTGTGGCTGAAATGGTGCACGCAGCCAAAGCCCTTCATCCCGGCCATACCCTCCCACGCGGCCAGGAAAGTAACTCCACGCTGCCACTGACGCTGCACAGTGTCAGGCACACAGTCCAACCAATTAGGATCTTAATATGATTAATCCTCACTCAGTTAATGAAGCCAGGGCAGCCCTGAAAAGGGCCTTGTCCGAGTTGCAACTGCAGAGCGTTAGCAAGGCTCTGCAGACCCCCACGGAGCAAACAGGAGAGAGGCCTGGGGGGTGCTGCGGGGTCGGGGCTGGGGGCTGCCCCACTCCACTGCCCTGCATGGCCAGAGTCGCAGCAGGGATGTTCCAGGCCAGAGGCCTCCCTCCCGAGATTAGGAAGTAACAAGAGACTACAGAAATTGGGTGTTTTTCATATCCAGAACCTTTTGTTTGATGCTTTTCCCCAAATGGGGTTTCTGGAAGCAGTATAAATCAAGCTTGGCACAATGGAACGTGTGTGTCCGTAAAGATATGTGTCTCTGAGTCTTTCACTTCTTGTGGTTACAAAACTTGCTGTCATTTTTAAAATTTTCAAAGGATTTTTTTTTAGTTCCTTTTTACATATTCCAAAACAACAGAAGCTTACAAAAGTCAGCTTCAAGAAAAAAAAATAAATCAATTCTTCAAATGGCTGTGAAGATGAAAATGCCAGCTCAGGAAGAAGAACCAGCCTTTGGGAAGGTACAAAAAGAAGCTCAGAGGAGGTGTCAGATCTAAAGCCAAAACCTCCATGTTAAATTACATCTGATGTAATTTAACACCAAAAAAAAGAGAGAAAATATGGGAAAAGAATTCCATATGCCAGGGATCGATACCTAAACAAACATGCTTCAAAATGTTCCCAGAATCATTTCCCCACTGCAAACAAACAGCTGAAGGAAATTATTCCCACACGGGACAACCTGATCAAGGCTTTGCCACGATACTTCTTGTGTGCAGGACTTCTTGTTCTGCTCCGAGATCCACACATCTGGTACACAAACAGGGACTTCTCAGTTAAAGAAAAAAAAAAAAGAAAAAAGTGCAAGGCCGATTTTGTCCAATCTTTCAAGTCTTAAAATACTAATAGCTCCAAAGGAATGTGTCGGCCGTATCTCATTAAAGAAAACCCACAATAAAGACAAGGGAAAGACCTCTGCCAGATTTCAGACACAAGCTTCATACTCCTTGGCTGCTGACTACACGGCTGTGGCCAACATCTATCTACGATGCTCCAGACAGGCAGAAAGCGTGGCCGGCCAAGGCTACTGCTCTGCATCCAGACAGGACATCGCTGCTCCGGGTGGGTGCATGGGCAGGGGGTGATCCCCGTCCTTGAGAGGACACTGTAGAAGCCACACACATGTATTTAAGCATGTCGCTCAGAAATAAACAGATTTGCTCCTGAAACAGATGCCACTCATGAACTGTATAACTATACACAGTAAAGGAAGGGGAATTGTTATGTTTACCAGCCTGTATATGAATATTATGTCAACTTCACACTTTTTCACCAATTATTCTTCTACACATATCCATCAGGGTATATTAACATACACAAAACTGCAGGCTAAGTGGCTTTTACCAGAGCATTTTCATTTCTAAGTCTAATAACCTCATCTCTCTCCTGTCCATCATCAACACACAAATCCAGCAAGAAAGAAAACCCCTCATCATAGCACCACATGCGATTTTACTGTGCTCTGCCAGGGAAGCATTTCGCTCCCAATTCCAACTTTGTTCCTCATCACTTGTTCTACCATTTCCTGGCAACTTCAGCTGATGTCAAATCAAATTTGTCTGGACACAGGGAACAGCTATGACTTAGGAAACCCATCTCATTTAATGATCCAGCCGAGCAGGTTCCACACAAGGCAACCGCCTACAAAACCGGGTGCTTTCAGCTCCAGTGAAATCCACCTCAGGACAGCAGGGATGTCGCTTCGCATGGCAAATGGAAGCAAGAGTAGCTATTACCAAGGAGATGTTGGTAAGATATGGACTAAAGGTGCCTCTCCCACCCTCCGCGCCAGGGAGGCCTTCATTTGAAATAAAACAGGGCAGGCAGGGACTGCAGACAGTGCGAGTGGAGGTGCAAAGGCAGAGCTCAGACCAGCACTGCTGCCCGGCGGGAGCCCCCCGAGCAGTCGCTTACACGGGGAGAGCCCTGCTCAAGCAGCACTGCTCGTCTTCCTTGGGGAGGGTTTAAGAGTCTCCAGACTGAGGAGTGTTGAGCCAGCCCAGCTGTATCATCCTACTGGCCTTTCCTTTGAGCAGCACAGCAGCATCCCTGCTCCTGCAACGCTCCCAGGAGAGGGTCAGAGATTGCTGCAGCACAGGAGCAAGTACTAAATTGCACTAGAGCACCAAAAAGGCAGGAAGACTGTGCCTAATCCTGCACGCTTACCTGTACACAAGCAGACATGCTCCTATAGGTGAAACATATACAGCTTTACCCCAAAGATACCCTACAGCTACTAGACACTGACCAAGATGGACCAAAGACAACGGCAATGCAGTGAGCAGTGCTGCAACGGCACCAAGGCAGCAGCTGAAGGGAGTACGGGTGCCTCCGCGCCGAGCCAGACGCCTCGAGCACAGCCTCTCCCGATCGCCAGCAACACTAGAGCAGCTCAGGGCTGAGCAATTGCACGACCTCTCCTTTCGACCAGGGGCGCCCGCACTTTGCTCAGCTCAAGGGCGCAATGGCAATTGTCCAGAGTCCACAGCTCCTTTTAACCGGGATGACCCTGAGCAGATACCTCCTTTCGCTGTCAATACCACGACTGTAGATCTCTGATCAGGTCAGCAGGACTGGGCTGGCCATCGGCTGCAGGCACTGCAGGTTGCCTCCCTCATTAGGCGAAGGAGCACCTTTAGAACAAGTGGTGCTTTGTAATGGACCTGAGAATTCTGAAAACCAGACGTTCAAATACCTGTAAAGCCTTGGCCACGCATCCAGATACCTGCTGGCTGCTCAGGACTGCAAAACACGGCAGTGCTGGAGGCAGACGCAGCTTTGTACATCATACACCAGCAAAATTTAACTCATTAGGTTTAGAAATGGAAATACGCAGCAAGTACCAGCAAAACATCAGAATATGTTACAGGAAAAGCTTCTGTGCCTTCCCAGTTACAGTGGCAACTCTGGCGAGGCAGGGACACAACCGCGTGCAGGACAGCATCGGAAACAGCAGCGCCCCACAGGAGCTTCACAGCCTGAGCAGGTGTGGGCTAAGGGAAACCAGAAGCACCTCATGCTGTCCAGGCACAGGGATGACAACTAAGGCATGAGACCTCAGCGGTGGTCCAGAATAACTAAGGAGTGTCCCCATAGGGAGGTACATTTATTATTCAGCAATCAATACCAGGATATTAGTGTCAATGCACAAAACAGCAAAAACAAGTGCTAATCTAGGCTTTACTACAGCACAGGTGCTGAAGAGAAGCAAGTCCTGACTTCTCCCCACCCTTCGTGGGAGAAAATATATCAAGGTCCTGACACGCGCTAATACTGGTTTTGTGGGTTTTTATTTTTGGGGGAGAGAGGGTTTGGATAGGCACGTTTTTAACATCTGCCATTTCATGGTTCAACTCACAGTGCACTTAAGATCATGTAGGTCCATGGAACCACATTACCAAAGCTACCACTGAACAGTTTTGTTCAGTTCTCATGTCTACGCTTAAAAAAGTTAAATTGGAGAGCATTCAGAAAGCTTTTTAAGAATAAGAAGGCTGGGAAGGCAATTAAAACGTAGAGCCTAAGGAAGCCCAATCTATTCATTTTGTCAATTAAATGCTTGCAAAATTAATTTTAGCATGGCCTGAATACGTCCACAGGAGTAAAAGACTGACAATAAATGGCTCATCAGGAAAAACGCAAACGAACTGCAAAGGTAATGCGACCGTTCACTCCCTGAAGCTCCCAAAATGAAATCAATTTTGGTTTTCTAAGGAAAAAAAATAGGAAAAAAGCCACAGTTGAGCCAGAATGTGTGCATTTAACACTAATCACTAAGCAATGATCTCCAGGCTGCATCCCACCACAGAATTCAGACAAGATCATATTGGCATCTTTTAATTTGAAGCTTATGAGCCTAACAAAAACATCCCTGTGAACCACTGTATGGCACCGGAACAAACTACCCTCACGGGCACCTTGTCAGCAGAGCTCTTCCTCAGAGCCACTCCTTGGTACGGGCAGGGACATCTGTAGAGTCAATCCCCCCCTGAGGCCTCCCAGCCCTGGTATGGCATCAGCAACATATAGGTTTTTATTTAGCTTTTACAGCTGCTTTACAAATTTCTGAAGTCAGAACCTAAACCAGACATGCCCACCCTTCTTGGTTGTACGTGTGTGAAGGAGCATAGGCGTGAAACAACGACTGGAAACGAACGATGCTGTGACAGGGAAAGTCCAGGCAGTCAGCCACTGCCGTTCAGGAACTTCCCATACCTGCTTCATTAGTTTTAATGCTCCCAGTCAGTCCCACCACCCCTGATGCTATCGGGCGGTGGAACATACTGTGGCAGACTGCCACAGTTTAATAGCATGTTGTGTGAAAAAGCACTTCCGCCTGTTTATTTTAGACCTGCTGCATCATAATTTCCTGTAAAAAAAACCCAGAAAACTGATGTTCCCTCCTTGCTTTCCCTGACCTGCCCATGACTTCATGCACCTGCATGGTATCTCCTGTCAGCAAGCTTCTCCCCTAAGGTGAGGAAACGGAGGCTTCACTTGCCCAGAAACCTGCTCGTCCGCGCTGCTCCTGCCCCTACGTTTTCCAGTGCTCCCCTTTTGAGACAGGCTAACCAGAACTGCCAGCAGCAGTCAGGGCACAAACTGCCAATGATTTAAGCAGCAGCGTAATGATGTTTTCTGCTTTGTTCTCTGCTCCTTTAAAGTAATTCCAAAATATCCTTTTTAAGCTACGGCAGGGTGTTGAAGCGATGTTTTAAAAGAAACAATTGCTGAGACACCAACAGCTCTTTCCTGAATAGTAAAAGCTGATGTAGAGTCAATTGCTGCGGTATTTGTTACCTTCATTACACCCGTTGCTGTTGTATCTCATTTAACACACCAGCACTCAGCATTACTGGTCTCTGCAACTTCCCGCAGTCCGGTTTAGCTACCCTAAATAATTTAGGATCAAGTTTTCCTTCCCCACATCACCATATTCGGGGAAAAAAAAAAAAAGCAGGGGAGACGACTGTGAAATTCCACAATAACCTCACTCCACTGTGAGCACCAACCGTCCATCCCTACCCTTTCTTTGCCACCCTATAGGCCCTTCCCACACTGCTGCCCTTTGGCTTTTTGTGGAGGACCCTTGTCAGAAGTCTGCAAAACCAAACGCGGTGCTCTGGGAATCACACCTGTGGAGCGGGGCGATCCAGCGTACCTGAGAAACAAAGCTCTGCCCCTTCCCCCCCCCCCCGGCCTCGCAAAAC